CAAAATCTTATGATATTAGTTTAAAAAAAAGTACTCATTATGCTCACCAACCAATCAGTCGATAGCTTAAACAACCCGATATTCATACATAACTTGTCTAAAAATAGCGCAGCTTATCCCAATCTAAAAAGGTTCTCACGAACCCTAGCTGAGAAAACCCTTTGAATATAGGCTCAGTGTTAACACACAATATATATTTATTGAGCTTGGATTCAATATTCTTTTTATTGATTTCGCCTTTCTGGTAAATTTATGTAAAGTCATGCGTCCCACTCCTCTCCTCCACTTGTGCTCCCTGATATTCATGCACATGTCGTATGAGTAATATTCAAACATCAAATCAATGCCAGCTGAGGCTAAAAAGCCAATTGAAAGGCAAACTTTGGTTGGAGCAGCACACCACCATCTTCCTGCCAAACACAAATAAAAAAAAAATGAGGAGAGAACTATGTAAATTCTCATGAAGTGCGCCCTTGAGTATGCTATACATTTGGCAAGTGGTTCGTTGCGAGGGTTTTGCGAGCAAATGCAGGCAATGGAATTACGCTGCATAAACGATGGGAACCAAGGCAAAGGCAACCGAAAACACAGCCTTTGGCATACAATTGAGCGCTGGACATTTGTCAACATTTTCCGCAACACCACCCCTCCGCTTGCCATGCCTCAGCCAAATTCAAAACTATGGAGAGCCGGAAACTGCGGCAACTGACAAAATGCCGCTTCACGTGCTCCGCTTATCTGTTACTCCACGAGAGCCACGGGAAGGCCCAACCTAATTTGGATGCCGCCATGCAGTGCATAATTTTAATAAAGGAAGTGTGCGGCAGCTCTGGCTTGTGGGTGTCGGGTGAGGGAAAGGGGCGTGTGCGAGGTAGCTACTTGTAAAATGAGACTAGCTGAGCCGAGGGTGTGTGCAAATAATGCCATGCAACGCTGAGCGCAATCCCGAAAATACAAACAACGAAGACGGCGTACAAGTTGGGGTATATTCGAATAATGAATGCGCTTTCGTTATGCATAAATAAAATATCTAGCTAATTCAGATTGCCTATGCTTATAAATTTGGAGTATTAAATGATTTATTCTTTATACTACCAATTAAAAATTAATAAATAAAAGTAAATGGATTAAGTAAAATACAAATTTAACAATTAAATAAAATTATTATTAAATGAAGAAGAAATTAAAAATACATACATATAACAATTTTATACATACATATATAAAAAATATAAATATTGAAAAAATTAATTGATTAACAAAATCAACAAATCAATATTTTATTTTATGAATTTCATTATTTTTTGTTAACTTATATATTTACATTTGTTCAAAACATTTTTAATTAAATTAAATTTAATGTTTTTATTTTTTAAAATTTAAAATATTTTTTGAAATAATGCCAACATACTAATTTTAATTTAATAATTCAAATTTGAGTTTTTAATTATTTCAATTTTACAAATACACTTAAAATATTAATGTTTAAATTAAATTAAAAATTTTAAAATGTTAATTATGAAAATGTTCATTTAAAAGAGATTTATTTTATGATTAATAAATTCAAATTAATGACAAAAAAAATATTATTATAATAGATAATAAAAATTATAAATAAGTATAGATAGGAATAAGTATAGTTTATAATTGGATATCTGAGTAACCCCAACTTGCATTAGAGTATGGTTTAAACCGGTTGCAGATTTTGCAGTTGTTATTGTTGTTGTTTGAGTTGTTGTTAGAAACGGATGTTGGGTTAGGCGGTTGATTGTATATACGTATATATATGTGGGGGTGTCTCTCTGACGAGGGTAAAGAGCTTGGGCCAGGAAGGAAAAGAGGCAGAGGAGTGAAGGCGTGGATTTCAGTGCAGTTTGCATTTGCATTTGCATTTTGGTAGCGAGCGAGCGCGTAAAATTAGCTGAGCAAATAGCCGAGGAGTAGAAGAAAGTGAAGGACTCACCCGACGTTGACAATGCAAAAGGTTTATTTAATTTAACAAGGGATTATCATAAAGCACGGCCGAGGCGTGGGCGGCCGGGAGTAGTGCTGCGCTCAGTGCTGGGACTTTAATATGTTTACATTTTAATTGAGGTTAAGCGCAGATTTGCAGCTCTTCGAAATCCTTTTGCACTGCTGGCCAAATATTTTATTTATGTCAGTTTGGCAAAGCATTTGCATTCTTCAAGGCGTTGAGCGCTTGACCGCACCACGAGTGCCACAAAAACGGCTCGCTTTAGACTTGGCTAAGTGCAACAAATGCCGCAACACAACTGCCACAGCAGCTGCAGCAAAGCTGCCAGCCTGCAACAGTTTCCCTTCAAAGAAAAGGCAAAAAAAAGGAAAACCTAAGGAAGAAGAAGACCAGCTAGACTGGCCAGACGAAGTGCCATTGTTAAGGCGTTGAGCTGCATACAGAACGTGTTGCACATCAAGGCAAGCATGAGGT